TGGTTAATAGTAATCACAGCCCGTGCCCTCGATTGAGCCCGAGGGACAAGTGTTCGATGAACAGGAGGTTGAGGACGAAGAAGAAGATTTCCTCATCCCTCGAACCTTCATTGCCCCCGAGGAATCGGATGCGACGAAATCCATGATCGAAGAACTCGAACAGGTCATATTGATCGAGCATCTTCCAGAATGAAAAGTATACCTAGGGTCGAGGTTAACCCCCGAACTCAGGAAAAAACTCATTCAGTTTCTCATCGATAATATTGATTCCTTCGCTTGGTCCCACTTAGATATGACAGGGGTCCCACCGAAGATAACTACCCATCGACTAAGTGTCGATCCTAGATTTAAACCAGTGAAGCAAAAGAGGAGACCTCAGTCCGAGGTAAAGCACGCATTCATCAAAGAAGAGGTAACCAAACTTCTAAAAATAGGATCCATCAGGGAAGTAAAATATCCCGAATGGCTAGCTAACGTAGTGGTAGTCCCTAAAAAGGGGAATAAACTTAGAATGTGTGTAGACTACAAAGATTTGAACAAAGCATGTCCTAAAGATTCTTTCCAATTTCCCAACATCGATCGTTTGATCGATGCTACGGCCGGCCACGAGATCCTTACCTTCCTCGATGCCTACTCCGGGTACAACCAAATTCAAATGAACCCAGAGGACAGGGAAAAACCTTCATTCATCACAAAGTATGGTACGTATTGTTATAATGTAATGCCCTTCGGGCTAAAAAACGTTTGAGCCACATATCAACGCCTAGTTAATAAGATGTTCGAGCATCAAATAGGAAAATCAATAGAAGTCTATATTGATGACATGATAGTTAAGTCCCTGCGCGCAGAGGACCATTTGACCCATTTGTAGGTGACATTCGACATCCTAAGAAAGTACAACATAAAGCTCAACCCCGAGAAATGCGCTTTTGGAGTCGGCTCGGGCAAATTCTTGGGCTTCATGGTATCGAACAGAGGTATCGAAATCAACCCCAATAAAATCAAAGCCATTAAGGAAATCACCGTGGTGAACAATGTGAAAGTCGTACAACGGCTGACCGGACGGATATCTGCCCTAGGTCGGTTTATCTCGAGGTCATTAGATCGGAGCCCTCACTTCTTTTCCCTACTCAAAAAAAAGAAGAAATTTGCATGGACTCCGGAGTGCCAACAAGCCTTGGAAGAATTAAAACGGTATCTCTCGATCCCACCCCTGCTCCATACTCCAAAGGAAGATGAAACACTCTACTTGTATCTATCTGTGTCTGAAATAGCGGTAAGTGGCATGTTGGTTCGAGAAGAGCAAGGTACGCAATTTCCTGTCTATTATGTGAGTAGGACCCTAGGAGATGCTGAAACCAGGTACCCACATTTGGAAAAGTTGGCTCTTGCGTTAATAAGCGCATCTAGGAAATTAAAACCATATTTTCAATGCCATCCTATATGTGTACTGACTACATACCCACTTCGTAATATCTTGCATAAGCTTGAATTATCGGGCAGATTGGCCAAATGGGCCATTGAACTCGGAGGATATGATATCGAATATCAGCCTCGAACAACTATCAAGTCTCAAATTTTGGCAGACTTCGTGGCAGACTTCGCGCCTGCCCTCGTACCCGAAGTAGAAAGGGAACTCCTGCTAAAAATGGGTACGTCATCGGGGGTTTGGACCTTCTTCACAGACAGTGCCTCGAATGTGAAAGGAACCGGGCTGGGCATCGTTTTGAAACCGCCTACGGGCAGTGTTATTAGGCAATCTATCAAAACTTCTAAATTGACTAACAATGAGGCCGAGTATGAGGCCATGATTGCAGGTCTTGAACTAGCCAAGGGCCTTGGAGCTCATCGAGGCAAAGTGTGATTCCCTTATGGTAGTAAATCATGTAAACGGAAGCTTCGAGGTTCGAGACGATCGAATGCGAAGGTACTTAGACAAACTTCAAATGACATTGCACCGCTTCAAGGAATGGACACTGGACCATGTACCTCGAGAACAGAATAGCGAGGTCGACGCACTTGGAAACTTGGGTTCATCGATCGAAGAAGATGATATCGTCCCGAGGGCTGTCGTCCAGCTGTCAAAGTCGGTGGTCGAAGAAGGCCATGCAGAGATTAATTCAACAAGTTTAACGTGGGATTGGAGGAATAAGTACATCGATTACTTGAAGCATGGAAAGCTCCCCGTGGATCCAAAAGAGTCAAGAACACTTCGACCCAAAGCAGCTCGATTCTCGCTCGATGAAAATGGAACGTTATACAGAAGAACCTTCGATGGACCATTGTAGTGTGCTTGGGACCCGGGGGTACCGATTATGTATTATAGGGAATCCACGAGGGCACCTGTGGGAACCATTCTGGCGCAGACTCTCTGGTTCGCAAGGTGATCAGAGCAGGGTATTATTAGGATAGCATGGAAAAGGATACCAAGGAGTTCGTGCGGAGGTGTGATAAATGCCAGAGATTTGCGCCAATAATCCGTCAACCCGGTGAACAACTCCACTCGGTCCTATCCCCGTGGCCATTCATGAAATGGGGGATGGACAACGTCGGCCCCCTACCAACGGCGCCAGGTAAAGCTAGATTTATTTTGTTTATGACTGACTACTTCTCAAAATGGGTTGAAGTGCAGGCCTTCGAGAAGGTAAGGGAGAAAGAAGTCATCGACTTAATATGGGACCACATCATATGTCATTTCGGGATACCCGCCTAAATAACATGCGACAATGGGAAACAGTTCATCAGTAGCAAAGTGACAAAATTCCTTGAAGACCATAAAATCAAAAGGATTCTATCAGCACCTTACCACCCAAGTGCAAATGGTCAGGCTGAGTCCACAAAAAAAAACCATTATTCGAAACTTAAAGAAAAGGTTAGATGATGCTAAGGGGAAATGGAGAGAAGTACTGCCCGGGTGCTATGGGCATATCGAACAACTTCGAAGTCCAGCAAGGGGGAGACCCCATTTTCTTTGGTATACGGATCCGAAGCATTGATCCCAGTCGAAGTCGGGGAACCTAGCGTCAGGTTTCAGCATGCCACCGAGGACTCAAATCATTAAGCTATGAACACTTCTCTCGAACTACTCGATGAAAAGTGTGAGGCTGCTTTAATATGAATGGTCGCACAAAAACAAAGGATCGAAAGGTATTACAACAGAAGAACGAACCTTCGATATTTCAAAGTCGGGGACTTAGTCCTAAGGAAAGTCACTCTCAACACTCGAGACCCAAACGAAGGGAAGCTAGGTCCCAATTGGGAAGGACCGTACCGTGTCCTCGGAGTCATAGGGAAAGGATCCTACAAACTTAGCACAATGGAAGGCGAGCTACTACCAAACAATTGGAATGTATCGATGCTCAAGCGATATTACTGCTGAGGTATGACCTTCTCCCCTTTCCCATTTTGTATTTAAAACTAACTCCTTGCAGAAGCTCGATTGGAGACATCGAGGCATCCTTTAGCTCGAAGGCATTGGGTTTGAAAGCATGCGTTGCACTCTTTTTTTCTTAGATCGGGTTTTATCCCAAATGGGTTTTACCGGGAAGGTTTTTAACGAGGCAACACCCATATGCTACCTAAGGAACATTCAACAAGTATTCAAGGCTTCTTTTCGATCAACCTCGAATACTGGGGGGGCATCACCCTCGGAGGTTATATTTTTTAGAAAGACATTTCACGCCTAAGAGGGCCTCGATAGGAGAACTTTGTAATGGACCAAACGGTCGAATGAATCGTGCCCATATAGAATAATCGAGCCCCGACGGCAAAACATGTACGCATGTATCAACTATTTAAAGAAGCATTCTGGTTATATCAAAAACACTTTGTATCTCATACGAGCTCTACACTTACAATCCTACAGGAAGCGGCTCAAGGGACAAAGCACCCCGAAATACCCGGGGACTGTCACTGACAGTCAATACTTCCGAGTCATCGAAAATTCGGACTCATAAGACCTCAAAGAGGCACCCCCTCGGAAAAAAGGCCAAGGCTAATTGACTCGGGGACTAACTTTTCGAACAAGTTCGGAAAGTTATCAGGAAACAAGTCCAAGTGACAAACCCGAAGGCTACGGTCATACTAAAGACTACGGTCACATAAAGGCTACGGTCACATAAAGGCTACGGCCACAATAATGCGATTCGTAGACGTCCAATTTTTGCTATAAGATTAAAAGCCTTCAAACATTGAAAAACCGGTTAAATTAGGCTACCCCCGACAAAAGCAAAATATAAGGGGCCTCGATAAATTCGGCCCCCGAAAAATCTAAGGGCTTCGATAAATTAGCCCCCGAATACATCTCACATTATTCACGGCAATAGAACATTCCACTCTGCTTTTCTTGTTCAACGTGCTCAACAATTATTCTTCAGCTTTATTGTTTTTACTTTATTGTTCATACTTTATTGTGATTAGCTGACCTCAAGGTCCCTGGGATAATCGAGCTCGAGGCCCCTATTACTCCAACAACACTGATTGGTTCATCAATTCTTCTTACTTAAGCTTAATATTACTTGTATAATCACTAGTATTAGAATATAACACATATCTTTAAAACCACAAATTATCTTTAATTGTTACTTCCATTTTTTGAGGTAAACAATTAAGTTAACTATATAGGATAAACAATCATCAGGTACATACATTTTTATTTTATAACTCAAAAGTTTAACCTTAATATTATATTTATGAATTTTTTTTATAAAAAAAAAGGTACCGCGCGCGCGTACGTATAAACTAGTTAGTACGAAAAGCATCACTCAAAGCTAAATCTTTTTTTATCACTAATGTGAATATGGATTATTGAAAGTTGTGAACGTTGTATAAAATATTTTCAACAATAAGACAACAGATTAACAGTAGTATCAAACATTTTGTAACGTTTCAAAATAAAAAAATCTTATATAGAAAATTTATTACTCGAGTAAATATTTTTATGCTAGTACCCACCTTCACTTACAAGTTACAAGCAAGAGTACAAGAAGAAGTAGAAAGAGTGAAACTGAAACGGTAACTTCCTCGTCGGGCACACCGAGGAAGGAAGTAAATATATATATACAAAAATACGGACCCTAAACCCCTTTTTATGTCTAATTATTTTCAAACCCTCCCGCGAAGCTAAATTTCCCTTTTTCTCTCTCTTTTTGATTCGAATAAGAGAAATTGGGGGTTTACAGTAATTGGGGTTTTGGTATATTTAGTTCTGTAAACTCATCCCTCGACTCGATTCTTCTTTTGATTTGCATTGATTATCATTAGATTTGACTTTGATTTTCAATTCAATTCTAATTGATGGAGGATACGAATCAGCAGAACGTCGATCGATTCACGTCTGTTTCATCTTCAGGTTCGTTAAAATTTCTTTTGTGCATTTTTTACTTACATAGGTTATTACGTATCACGAGTGGATCTAGGATTTAAAAGCAGTGAGTGTATATGGATATGTTTTTGTTTAAATTTTGTATATACATATATATAGCTCTAGCACGAGGTGGCAGGTACCGCCTGTGGTCGGCATCTCTTCCTGTATTGGCTGAATTCTATATATTCCGACCTTTTTGTATGACGTGGTGTCTGTGCTAGTTTGCTCGCACCTCAACTGTTCTACCCATACCTGCCACCTCTCACCAGCACATGTATTAACTCTGCCACCAAGGTTTAGGCAGATGTGAATAAATTAGCTAGTTTTTTTACCTGTGCTGGAATTTGAACCTAAGACCTTGTGTGTAATGTTATGTTGTTAGAGATTTATTTGGTGTTTAATGATAAAAACAAGACTAGCCATATACACAAAGTCGGTTTGTGCCAGTGTAGAGGAAGAATGGGCAAGGGATGTAGGCGTTAAGATATGAGTTCGGCAAAGCTAAGTAGCTTTGGTCCATACTTCGCTTCTCTATTAAGAGATCCACTAAATATGTAAAAGAAATAATGAGTTTGGCAGAACCTAGTAGTTTGGCCGAACCATGTATATGTGTTAAGAAATTTACTAAAAATGTACAAAAGTTATGGGTTTAATAAAACTCAGTAGCTTTGGTTCAAATCCTGTATATGTCTTAAGAAATTGACGAATATGTACCAAAGTTAAGTTCAGCATACTAGCACTTGAGGTTGCTATCCTAGAATCAAAAACCCATAAATTTCAAATCCTGATATGCATCTGAGAGGGAGCATATGTTGGGCAGCCTTCCCTTTGCATTTGTGCAGAGATGCTTTATCCAACACTTGTATAGTGGGTTATATAGAGTACGTTTGTGCTAAGTTGCTCGGACTCGGGTGCGGGTATCTGATACGGAGACGGATCCGAGTATCGGATTCGGCAAATCTAAATTTTAAGATTCGGGGATGCGGATCCGGATATCGATACGGGTGCGGGAATTCGGCTAATAAAAAGTAGAGCTATAAAAATATTGTAAATTTTGAGAGATATTCTGTGAAAAACTTACATGAATATTGTAGAATTCAATCTTTCATTCTCCAAGATGGACATTATTCTTTCATTCCCCTAAATCTGTTTTATTTTTTATTTTGAGAAATCAAAATCTCAATTTTTCTCCCAAATTTGTCGATGGACTCCGGTCAAAGTGTCTGAAGTCAGTTGACCGAATCCAGGACGTATGGCACCAAAATCGAAGAGTCCGCGCAACTTAGTGTTTGTGTGACTGTATTAATAGGAAATTTCCTTTTGCTCTGGGTAATGTTGCAGTTGATAGTTCTCTTTCTTAGATATTTGTTGTGTTGCTGTTACTCTTTCAGGGTTTCACAAAAAAGGATTTGTGCATTCTTTTCGGTTGAATCTTTTATTTAGCCGGCTATAAGCTGCTTTGAAGCAATTTCTGTACAGTACAATCATCTGTTGAAGGTGATTTCTGATCTTTTAGGAAGTGTTATTAGTTAAAGATCTTAACGTAAAAATTTAGTATGATAAGATATGGAACAAGGTTACGATTGCCTCCCTTCACTAATATCTCGTCCCAGAATTGAGAAAGTAGCAAGAACCCTAACTGGTGAATCCTTTCTACACTGGATCTGCTTTCTATCCTTTTTTAGGTCAACTGAATGCCTACTTCATGCAAAGTGCATTCTGCATGTTTGTTATGTACATGTAAAAGTATGAGTGTACTTATTCGGAGTCTTCCAACATCTGAACAAGTAAAACCGCAGTTCTTTTAACGAATTTCTTTTAAAATAACACATAGATAATAATGTGTGAGATGGTAATTTGAGATGGTTTGCATTTCTTACGAAGAGATAACATGCACAATGTGCGGTATACTTAGTTGCTCGGACTCGGGTGTCCAATACTTCAGATCCTTCATGATCTAAATTTTAAGATTCGGGGGGTACGGAACCAGGTACGATGCGAGTGCGAGAATTCGGCTAAAAGTAATTCGAATATCTTTTTTTAATAAGCAAAGTAATTCAAATATCTAAAATAGAGTTATAAAAATATGTCTAAAATATGAGATATTATTGGAAAACTTACATGGTATTCCGAGAAGGAGAAAACATTGATCAAGAGGAGAATTCGAGAAAGAGAGAAAAGGAAAAAGACAGGCATAGAAATTTCTATATACAAACTATTCCATTTTCTTCAGTTTCACCCTAGAGAACAGTTATTTTGTCCTAAAAAATAAATTTAGTATTGGAATTTAATTGACTTAAATAGAGCGGGAATGGATTAGGATTCATATAGCAGATTGAAATTGAGGTGTAGTTGATTGATGGGCTGATACGACTACTGCAATCTATAGGTTAGTGATTAATTGCCACTTACACATAGTTCAATCATTGTTTGGGCATATTGCTCTAGCTCTTCTGCTGAACTAAAGTTCGAAGTAAAAATATAATTAAATGGGAGAATAGATACTTGATTATGAGGTATTTTGCTATGTTGGGTTCTAGTTACTTGCCTCTCTTCCACAGTATTGCTGATGTGAACAAAGTATTCCCATGGATCTTTACCATCTTGCAAATTTTGTAATATTTACAATTGAATTGATGACTTTAGTCATATAGGCATGCTTAATTACATCCTTACGTGATAAATATGACTCTTCCTGAATCTTGTCATTGAGAATCTGCAAATTGATCAAAGCCATCTCAAAAAAGGAACTAGGAGCTTCTGAACAAATTGATATCCTTTTGAGCATTCATTTGTGCCTGGGTTTTCACAAAATTAGCTACGTCCTGCACATTTTCCCCACTGAATTTGGAAAAATTGATATTTCGAATTGGTGTAACTATTAAAGTTGACATTGCAAAAGTAAGTTCTTACTTTTATAGTTCTATTATAAATCCTTGTTTTCACAAATTGAACAAGTAGTGTTTTTTTTCATTGAAATGTAGATGGGGACTCATTTTTATGCTTACACAATTTAATTAAATTTATGAAAAAGCTATTTTTTTCGAGTAGAGCATCATTTCCATTTGCAAGATCCAGCGTTTGAGCAATAGAAGTTCCAAATCTACCAAAATATCTTTCCACAGAGCAGCCCTTTGAGGCTTTTCTCTCTTATGGCCTTTGGGAGGAAGAATCCTGCTTTTATCTGAAGGGGGCAATCTCATATCCTATTGCCTCGGGTAGCAGGGTATCTGCATTTATCATTTGGGTTTGGCCTTGAGAACTACATTTTTCATCTTTGCTGTTTTACTTATCGAGTAAATAAATGAATCTATTAAAATTTATTTTTCCTTTGAGTTTTGCGGGTTTTAAATCAAACCTGAGAGAGAAATCAACTTAGATTTAGCAGGGTCCTCTAATGTCCTTGTTTCATTACACTTTAAAAATCTACATATCACTGAGTTATTACTAGCTTGCATTGGTTTTGACAAGTAACAGCCTTCTTTGGTGTGGGTATAGGTGAAAGAGCCGTTGAACCACATAATGCTGCAGAACAGGTATATTACTAATAGTCTTCAATATTTATAGCTTATTCTTTTGTATATTTTTGCCAGCATAGTTGATGTATTTGGTTAGTACTTCCATTTTAATCCATTATCAGCCTATTTCGCCCAAAGATGAAAGGATTGTTTCTGCAAATGCTTCTGCGAATGCAACCATCCCTGGGGCTGCAAGAAATGCTAAAGATCACCCTGTTACCTCTGAAACTGGAGCTCTGTCCACCTTTTATCCTCTCAATTCCTATTCTCCTCAGGACCAAGGTTTTTACTATGGAGGTTAGTTCCTTTGGCTAATGTTAATTTGTTATTGCTGTTCACCTGGTGTCACATGCATGCAGCAAGATGCCAATGAATAAGTTCCTACTATATCATTTCTATCCTTTTTCTTCTTTTTCTACAAAGATCTTTTAATTTTGAAGGTAATAGAAATAGAAGTTCTACTTGTTAAAATTTTGACTAATGTTGAAATGATTGTGATTTGTGATGGGAAAGATAATTTTTTATTTTTACTCAGTAGATGGTATGTCTGCCAACGGATTCACTATCTTTGATTACTTCTTAACCTTATTTTTAGGATTTCCTTTGTGAAATATGGTCCCCCCTCCCATGGGTGGTAAGGGGGAGTAGACAAAATTGTTAAATTTAGAATCCTTATGGTCGCTGGTCCTTTATTTGCCTTGTGCCTCAGGTTACGACAATGGCACTGGGAGTTGGGCCGAACAATCTAATGATGTCAATCTGAACAACTTGCATGTAGTTCCGCCAGTAAGTTCTGATTCCGCTTTCTGTAAGTGGAAGCATTTATATTCCATACAGTGGGTCACCAAATATTAATAATCTCCTTGACCTTTTGCAGGCAATGTACAATGAGAATCCCCTCTTTTTCCCTCCGGGTTACGGCTTTGATGCTCAGATGGCATTTGGGCAGTTCTCCCCCATCGCCAGTCCTCTTTCTCCTTTTATGATAGATGGCCAGCTATACTCCCCACACCAGATTCCGGTTTCTCCAAATTACTATGCACCACCTATTTCCCCTGGCTTGCCGCATGTTACATCAGCTCTTCCAGCTTCGCAGCCTGATCTGGTGGCACCAGGAAGCACTGGCCATGAAATTGATAGCACGTATTTTGGGCCAGGATCAGGTTACTACATACCCGTTGGATCGTTTGGCGGAGGCGAGCTTTCGGGAAGCAGCAACATTGGTTTCTACAATTACCAAGGTGAATTTGGTTCTGGTCAATCTTTATCTAATCGGCCTAACCCCGTGGACTCTGGAAGATACATGTCTCAAATGACATCTGCGGCACTATATCCACAACCAGTTGGCATACTTGGGCCGTACGAGCAATACGCCATGCAGGTTTGTTATCATTTTTCTTCACTGGAAAATTTAGTGAAAGAGAAGCAATGAATGGTGAATATCTGTTACTAATTCTAATGATAAGTGTTTTTATCACCTCAAATATTATGTTAATAATATGATTATATGCTACTAACAACTACAACAATAAATCCAGTATAATATCCCACAAGTGGGGTCTTAAGAGGGTAGTGTGATTATATGCTGCTGCTTACATAAAAAGTTTTTCTTTTCTTAATAAACTAACCAACCCAGTTTTAGTGCATAGCTTAGTTAGATATTTATGTTATACTTATTTGGATGTAGCTCGTTCTTTTTTTTTCACCAGATGTAGCTGGTTCATTAATGGTGAACTTTTCAACTCATCAGAGAAAAATTAAGAGTAAGCACCACTCCATGCATTAGAGAGCATTTAAAACTCGATCAATTCTATCCCTTTTTTTGGCTCTGGTAAAATTAAAACTCGATAAATTGTGACTTTTCTGGCTGTATGTTTTTCATTTCCTTCTTCAGCTTCCACCTTACTCACTAATGGAAAGAAATACAATATGATTTAGCAGCGTAGCCTGGATTCTTCTTGATATATTATTCGTGTGCAATCACAAAGGCCTCATAGGTATTTTGTTGAATTATGTCGGATAGATGTGCCATTTTTGGCTATCCCTTATAGCTATTGGGTTTATGTAATGACCCGATACATAGATTTTGAGAAGTCTTTTACGAAATCATTGGATAGCTAGTTAAAATTTTATTCACAATAGTCAAGCTTTTATTTTCCGGACAACTGCGTCAGTATTGGATATTGGTGTGTGTCCAATACTAGTGCCAATTGAAGGTTTCTATTATTTGTAGCACAAAATACGAGATTCTATCTCGCATGGCTCATCAGTACCTGACTCTTAGACCATGTTTGGTAGTGTCTTATAGGATATAGCATTGAAGGTATGAGAATTCTATTCGAGGGAGAGAAATAGTATGACTCTTGAGGGGCAGAGTTAAAAGCTTTCTTTGTTTTGGTTATACTTTTGGAGTAATGAGGATATACAGTATTGTGTAGGTGGTTTGATTTTGCGGAGTTCCAATTGAAATGACATACTTCTGTAAGCGTCAGGATCTTGGTGACTTATCAATTCAAATGTACAAGATGTATCCACAGGCAACACTATATAAGAAAATACATATCCAAGAAATTCATCCTAGATTTGAAATAATTTCCTTGCTTTTCATAAAACAAAATCCTAAAGTTGAAACAATTAAGGATTACTTTATTTACTCGAGGGGGAAACTGTTAACTTTTCTTTTAAGAACGGCCTTGTGAATGAAGTCTACAGTAGCTTACTTTGGATTTTAAGGTGTTTATACTGATATCATTACTAATTTTGATGTCCCTTTTGTCAACCTGTATGATATCTTATTTATCCTTGTACATGTCATATTTGTTGTCTCTTTTCTCCGCGAAATAAAAATAATAATACGGGTAACCTATATCTACATAATTAGCGGTGCTGGTTCTAGTGTACAAAACAATAGATCAGTGAAACTATGAAGCATTAGTATTTGCTCCCTCGTGATTTTACTTAATGTTAAGCACAGTGATTGCCTTTGAAATTATAGCCATCAGTCTTACTTTTTACATTCTGCATATTGTGCTCGATCAATAATTAAAGAACATAGTGCATATTTTAACTGCAAAATCTTGATGATGGTCATTAGACACACATTCACTAGCTTGGAAATGAGATCTAGTCAATGCTGTGTTATATCTCCTAACTTGAATAGGGGTGAGACTCAGATACATCCTATCCCAGAAAAGCAGCTGACTTTTATCATCTCAAATAGGAAACTATATACAAGGAATTGATTATCTTTATGTCGTGTCTTGTGTTTCTTAGAGCTGTTTATACTCAGTAGCACCTTCTGTTCTGAATGATCTACTTATTTGATCAAAACCAGGCGTCACATCAAGGTCTTGGATTCACACAAGGCTCCTCAGCCAGGCATTATTCCCAAGGCAATCCTTATCCTAGTGCAAACTATGGTACTGGGTCTAGTTCTCAGTGGGAACCAGGTCACAGAAATTGGCTAACTCCTGACAGAGGTGGAAGACGTGAGAGGGATCGGCACTCTGTTAACATTTCTACTGAATCACTTGGTATGGCAAGTGAACGAAACCGAGGACCAAGGGCATTAAAACCAAAGAGCAAGGGTCCCATTGAGGATAGCTCTTCATCTGTGATCCATAAAGAAGTTGAGTCAACTAATACTTTGCAGCCTGAGCAGTATAATCGGCCTGAATTTGTCACTGATTATGAGCATGCCAAGTTCTTTGTCATCAAATCCTTCAGTGAAGATAATGTTCACAAAAGCATCAAATATAGTGTGTGGGCTAGCACTCCTCTGGGAAATAGAAAGCTTGATGCTGCTTATCGTGAAGCAAAAGAGAGGAATGCTGATTGTCCTGTTTTTCTCTTTTTCTCGGTATGTTCCTTCAATTCTTATATTGGCTTGTGAGTTAAATGAATGCATTACTCTCCTGGAGAATGGTTCATATACAGAACAACCTTTGTCATTATTCTCAGAAGGCTTCTATTTGTCTTTCAGTTGTTTTTCTTTTTCCACTTATGTTTTTCTAAATTTGTATCTCTTTTTAGCACGGTATTTGAAAACTTAGTAAACACCAATGCATTCTAATAAGTATACATCTTGATAGGCATGCTTAAACTTTTGAGCTTTTAATATTTGGGTATAACTCTAGGTGAATGCTAGTGGACAATTTTGTGGGGTTGCTGAGATGGTTGGACCTGTTGATTTTGAGAACAATGCGGAGCACTGGCAGCAGGATCGATGGAGTGGGCAATTTCCTGTTAAATGGCATGTCATTAAGGATGTGCCTAACAGTCAGTTCCGCCACCTACTTCTGGAACATAATGACAACAAGCCAGTTACTCACAGCCGAGATTCTCAAGAGGTATATATCTTTTACTATACACCGTTGTAATCTTCTACTTCTGTTCTTGCTTCTAAGATTACCATCCAGTTTTTTTTTTATAAGGAAGATTATCATCCAGTTCTCAATGTCTATTACCAATTGGAGCTGCAAATTTTCTGCGGAAGTCCTCATCTTGAATGTAGCTAGTCCAGATCTTTTGTCTGTATCTCACATAAATTATTTCAGGATAGTGCAGCTTTATTTGCATATATTGATCAGTGGCTGCTAGAAATTTCTCTGGTTTTCTTTTTTCTTTCTGTATGCTAACATTCAAAACCTTGGCATTGACAACCATGTGCCCTTGCTCTTGCTTGGGCTATGTGTCCTATAGCTTGTGTTTACGAGTTGCAATTGCTTCACATTGTTGTCTTTCTGATCATTTCAGGTGAAATTGCCAGAGGGACTAGAAATGTTGAAAATTTTCAAAAACTATGAAGCGGATACCTCTATATTGGATGATTTCACCTATTACGATGAGAAGGAGAAGTCCTTGCTGGAAAAGAAGAGTAAACAGCGAACACTTCAACCTGGTAGTGCTGCAGTTACTACTGCAGCTGACACAATAAGTCAACTAGCCGATAGTCTTGCCGGCACATTAAACTTGGAAAGCAACAAGAATTTGCCTTAAAAAGAGTTTGTAATGCTTAAGCCTGTAGCAGATTTCAGAGGCAATATCAACTGCTGTCATTCAATGTTAGTTGGTTGGGCAACCAGCTGGCTCGTATAGTTAAGGAGATTGCTAACAGCATTTTGGGAGGTGGCCTTTTCATCACCTTTGGATCAGAAAACTCTCTTTATCTCTTTCCTTTATTTGTCATTTGTTCAATGAGTTGGTTGTGATTTGCAATTCTTGGGCAAGGAGAGGCAGCCAGTAATGTTAGTGCTAACTGTTTTCCCGCTATTTCTTCGTTGTTTCTATAAGTAGGTGATGGCAGGCAATACAGAAGCCATCCGACATCTGGAAATTTGTGGATCTTTCCGGGCTGATGTTTTATGTACTCTAGTTTTTCATAGTTTCAGGCAGTACCAATAGCTGCTTTTGTATTCCTATAAAACTGCCAAAATGGGTGATAATTGGGAGGAGGCCTTAAGAGAAATCGAATGACTTGATATCGAGCCTGTATTTCTTCATCAACCAAAATAACGTCTGGCCTTGGCAGTCAGATTATTTCTTTTATGGAATCATAGGTATTGATGTTTTCTCATGCTGCATTGTACTAGCTATTGTCTTTACTCCTACCTTTTAATACGGTCAGGTGCGGAGCTAGAAAAAATTCATTATATATGTACGAATATTAAATTTAGAACCTAGTTATTAGCACTTGAAGTCTTCGTTCTAAAATATAGAACCCATGAAGTTAAAATCCTAGTTCCATCTCTGAATATTGTAGCCTTCTATTCATTTTGCATCTGCATCAAAGTTGAAAAAATCATCATTGTCTGGGGAATTCATCTTATAAGGTGGAAGGATGTTAATCCAAATCATAGATCCTTATAATGCCTCTCCCCAGGGAATGCTAACCATGAATATCCGAAAGTTTTCACTCAAACTCTGTAATAATAAGAAAGTGCACGGATTTAGTACCCTGTTGAAGGATCCTTCAACTACTTCAAAGGAAAGTCGACGAGGAAACATATTTTCACTAGCATACTTGCTCGAGATTGAAGATGGCTTATCAGGATCCCTTAAATTGTGGTCGATTGGGAGATTTATTTCTTATTCGAATGTGTATCAAGATTTGATTATGGTCTCTTTACCACTGAAACTCACGATTTGATAAAGCAGAATTTGAGCAATGCACCAAACGCAGAAATATATCTAAGGTTTAATCTGAGGCCAACCAACTTCAAAGCTTCATCTCCTTTTTCTTCTCTTATTTCGAAAGTCCAGTACTATACCTCCTCCATCTTGTTTTCTTCTTTTTCAATTGTTATTTTTATTATTTCCCTCCTTAAAGGAGAACAAAATGAAGCATAGGCGGGGTGGACGTGAACTAAGATTAGTTAACTTATTGTCTTCAATAATTAGAACAATTAATCCTCATCCCTTATACCAACTACTATATCCTGATCATACAAATTGATTTGAATGTTTCCCATCTCCAAGCAAAATCGTCATTCTTGCTCCCAAATAATCAGAAATCAATCCTCAAAAACCTCTCATTCACCAACACCACATTGACTAATACATTGTGATCCTACAGATTGATTTTAATGACTTCAGTCCTCCAAGCAAAATATTTACTCTTGCTACCATATTTCCTGCAATGTAAGATCAAACATTGGGAGCCAACACAGAGATGAGGGTGTGGGCATGGATCAGAGAGTAACTTCTTCAGGACCTTATACATTCAAACTTAATAACAACAAAAGATAAGGTCTACAATGCCATAAAAGGACCGGTATGATACACATCAGCCCTCTCTTCTACTACTTATCAGCATCTTAAATCAAAAGAGAAAAGAGGGGAGGTTAAAAGGATACAACAAAGAAACAAAGAGTTCTCATAACTTAGTCTCTTTCCTATCGAACAAAGAAATTATGCCTAATAGATACACATAAAGGACTTAAAATCAGCTGTTTTTTGGGCTTCCCAAATTCTTTACTCCTGTTCTTACTGCTTCTAGATTCCTCTTCCCGCATTAATCAGTAGTCATCGGTTGGCTTATGCAGCACCTAAAACGGGCCTTTCTGACAGTTGTCATGATCTCTGTCTCTGCGACCTCGAGCATTCTGACCACTTGAGAGAATGGTGGCCTATTATCAGGGTTAGCATCCCAGCAGCGGGTCATGATCTCACTTAGGACAGGCAAACAATCATTGGGGATTGCTGGACGAACACCTTTGTTGACAACAGCAAAAGCTGCCTGCACAGCAGTCATTTTCTGGAAGGGAAGCATCCCTGTTATGAGTTCCCACAGAACGATGCCAAAACTATAAACATCGACTTTGTGGGTGTAAGCTCGATGCTGGATCATCTCCCTGCATATCAGAGTAAATGCACTCAAGTAACCAACAATGAAACATACATGCTAAACGATTTTGGATGTTTTCCGTTTTTTCCAAATGAGAAGAATCCTAATATATTGCTAAACTGGAAGAAAAAATATCTATACTAGGCAGAATTGCTACAGCACAGATTTCTCACTAGAAACGTAATTTCCTTTTTAAGATGAATAGACATGCTGGGCAACAACTTTATCTGATAAGAAGATTTAAGCAAGACCATTATTTAATTTTTTGGTAATTTAGGCAAGACCATTATTACATTAGTCAAAAAGCATATTTCATATTTTCCTTCAACAAGTCATCCACTAATAATTTTTAGATACATCTACTATGACGGTGATGTGCTAATCTCACCCACATTAGCAAACCTAAATATCACCTGAGCGACCTCATGCATCTGTTCTAATCACAAGCATTTCGACACTATTTCTGGAAGCTAGAATCACCATGTTTTTCAGAGTAATTTCTAAAAGAAATGTCCCATTCGAAACACACAAAAAAAATCCATTTTTCACATTTTCCAACCAAATGAAAGCTTAAACATAAATCAGGGGATTCATGGATGTTGGGAATCTGTAGGTATTGCTTTGATTGGGAGATGGAAAGATGGCTACTTAACTTCAATAGCTGGAGCAGAAGCTACTAGATCTTGAAGAGAAACAGCCAGTTCTTTGAAAATCTCAACTTTGAGGAGTTAGATTAATTTTGAGGTAAATAATTTTATTAATGTGGGAAAACTCTCATATACAAGTCGTATACCAAAAAGTAGAGAACCTACACAAATATGGTTATCTATAGATCTCATCCAATCTTCTATATGCATAAGAACTTCATGGGTGCACCAAAAACACTTAGAATAAGAGGTTATTCCTCAAATGTATTTGAGAAGTTGGATTACCATCGGCAATATTGTACGTTGAAATTAGTTATTTTTCTTCGATAAGTAATTAAAGATGTTATAAATTTATGCACTTAGCCAGTGCATCAGGCATAAAGCTAAATCATGTTCAATAACCAGATTGCACCAAAAAGCTAAAAAAAAAATACATCTCTGTTTAAGGCTGAGAATGTTTCTCGTTGTGCCTTCAAAAACCCTGTTGTTTCTTTCAAGCCAGACAGTCCACCAAATGGCCTGAGGTATGGTATTTGAAGTTCTTAGAGATTTCTTATTAAGCTCCTTTCTTACGTTGAAATTAGTTATGTTAATTGCTATTTAATTATTATAGTTTAAACTCATTTATGTTTTGGTACTTTATTTTCAATAAATTGTGCGCTTCACTTTGCAGTTTTCCACTTAATGTCCCAGGGACCTTGTCGTTTTTTTGTGCTTTTCGCTTTTAAAAATATTGCTAAACTATACAAGGGAACTCTCTACTCCTTCCAATACTCCATGTTCATCTTCCCATATCGTCCATGTGAGCGCCAAAGGAGCTACTTCCGGCACTCTACTTCTTAATATCATCTAGTAAGAGGATGTTGACTGAAATAGAAAATTTTGGAAGTTTTTCTTTAACTTTTTTGGTAAGTAGAAAATTTTGGAAGAATTGGATTGAACTTCCAAGCATCTGGAGTCCTCTTCCTTTCAACTTGCAAATATTGGAATTGTTGCAAAAAGTCGAGACACAAAATGGATGCTCTATTCTACAAAGAGGGAACACTTTTGTGCCTCTCGACCAAGTGTTGATCCATTGTATTTCTAAGAAATAGTTTTTGAAATCCCAAATTTGTCTGATGAGAAATGTGAATTAAAAAGGAGGGGGATCAGCACTTTTGTGCCTCTCAACTTATTCCAACAGAAGTGATTATCCCTTGTATGTTTAAGAATAAAACTTCTTTAAAACAAGCTTGTCTGATAAGATATGCAAACAAAAGATTAAAAAAGAACCCCCTGGCTGGAAATAAATTATACTCCATGTTCTCTTTTTCATGTCGATTAAGCATACCAATGCCTCGACCCACACAACCATACTTCTAAGTTGTTGATTGGCATGGGAAAATCTAGTAAGGTTCTTCTCTAGATCTAGAACATGGTGTTGGAAATTATCTTGAGTAACGCGAGCACCATCTTAGGAAAGAGCGAGCCTGAAAAATATTATTTTTATCTTTTTGATTGGTCAACTTTATTAAAGTAAGGTAAAAGGAAGTGGTACGCAGAGACATTGAACAAAATCTGATGCGACAACAGACACGTGTACATTATAATTATCCCTACTTAACAGACTTTGTAGATGGTAACAACCATGCTAAACAAGACTAGGTATGACCGGCAAACTAAGCAACTAAACCACCAAATGAACGTATCTGTAAGCTTAAGTAACTGAATCACAGACTACAGAGCGATTGTCACAACAGGATCCCAAAAAAAAGTATTTGAAGGGAAGGTACTCATTCCCGGCCGCTTTCAATAGTGTTCATTGTTGAGTGATTGCTCACTACCTAGCTGGAAAAGATGGTCCGGAAGCTGCCTCTCTCCCAGTAAGCACGACAGAATCACCGCTTCTCTCGCAGCTCTCTAAACGAATCTACCCTTCTTTATGAACTAAAAAAATCTCAAGAATAGAAGTCCCATTAATAGTTGATGTGCCAAGCTTATGACATTTTCCTACAGGGAAAATGAAGAAAAAAAGAGCTACCTATCTAGTTAGAAGGATTGAGGAGAATGTCCTTTTGTTTATGGAACAATAGCACTTTCTCCAGCAAAGGTCAGTTCATAATAAACCTCAATAAATAAAGTGCTGCTGTATGGGATCAGTAAAATGTGCTAACCTGAAAAGGAAATGCTCCAGGTATGAGGATAAAAGGGAAACACCCAACCCTCACTCACTTCCTTAGCTTTCCTCCCAAAGACTTCATTAATTCATGCCATGACAGACAACTTCTGTTGTGCTATTCCACTCTCTGAACTTGAGACAAGCAGTAATATCTATTTGAAATCATTTAGGTTGTCAAGACTGTCTGTGCATTATGAATAAGAGTTGCTAGGCTTTCTATGAAAGCAATTCAAATAAAGTGAGTTAATCTATTTCCCTAGATGTGACAATCTAAGATAGGATACTATACACCAATCTGCTTCATTTGCGATGAAAGGAAAACTAAAGCTAAAATGTTGAAAAGCATATTACTCGTGTGCTTTACCAACAGCAATTTTATTTAACCACGTCACATTAAAGGACCAATTGCTGGCCTCATTGAGCTAAATTAGAAACCAATATGAAACCGACATAGACCAGACCTCAAGCAGCCAAAAGCATTTTGAATTCTCCACAGATCAACAGTGAAAACACCTAACAAATTTGGTTTCCACGTCTACTCAGAGAAAATACACACTGCCTTTCCTCCAACTTTGCAACACGAATTCTAATTTGGCCACCTAAAAGTCAGACAGCAATTGGCTCCCATTTTTACTCATTTATGCATTTTGAACCAGCATTCAATCTTCCTTCTAAAATTCTTGTCCAAAAGAATGTTCACAAACAGATCTACAAAGGAAGGAATTAAAGGCACTACTTCAAGTTTCCTGTTAACTCAACCTTCCATAAGAAGCACGAAAGCAGAAAGATATTCATCAGCATACTCAACGCGATATATTCTCAGAACTCACATTTCAATACAGAAAAGTCTCAGCACGAACGATAATGAATAGAGTACAAATCAAAAAAGCTGGATCCGATGAAAATATCCATTTTTCTACTTCCATCTTCCGAAATGGGGAAACAAATACTGGAGCATAGTCTGCCTCTCCTATCTAGTCAAGAATAAGGACATGCCATGAAAGAAAGCTCAACTTTTTAAGTTAAAATGGCTAAAACTACCAAAATGGCTAATGTTTCACAAAGTATTACTAGCAACGATTTATGATCTGAGATTTAGAGAAGGTCTTATGTTCTTATCTTTGTACACAGAAGACATTCCCTATTGCTTCCTTGTATTAAAGTTTACCATAAACTTGAAGCGTCCTTGCATACAATAATATATAACTTCCTCCTGTCTCATTTCATATGATGGTATTCAACTCTAAGTAGAATCTAAGACGTTAATTTGACTTAGAAATTATATTATTCATAGTAGAAGAAAATATCAAAGTTATGGTTAAAAACTTAGTTTTATAGAGAAACCATCAAATCAAAGTTCAAAATGTTAATAGCTAAAAGAACTAAAATTCTTGAAAGTTATGAAAATTGCATGGAATAATATCAAACATTTTGGGAAAATGGAAAGAGTGTCAGAAATTGGAACGGAGAAAGGGAGTTGTAGACATATCAAATCAAGAAAAGGAATTTTTTTTGATGAATAGGTAGCAACTTCACTGTACTGCAGACTAGTTGCATTAGGAGGAAGGCAGATATCAAAAGAAAGTACAACTTGTTATTCTTCTTGGAGAGTTGCACCATAGAGACTGTTAAAGCACCTCCCTTTGATAACTAGGGAGCACTCCCCTTTGGTTATGCTCTATCGAAAATTACATCAGAAAATCGCACTCTAGCTCATTTTGCTCCAAATGGATATTTAGGAAAAGAACATAATTGGCTAATTGCATACTTAAGTACCAAAGTAAATTTCCAGAAACAATTAACAATTTGCTGTTGAAAAGTAGTCAAAACACCTAAACAACAGTGAAACATTCCATTTTTTTTTCTTAATAAGAAATGAACTACTGAAAAGTCTTTACAATTAAAATCTTCACCCAACTAACATCTCTTTCTTATTTCTTTTTTCCTTTTTTGGTAAAAAAAAGTAATTGTACATAACACTCTTAAATAGCTTTTAATTAATCCTGGACAGATTACATTGTATCTCTACCCCTCCGGAGTAGGGGTAAGGTCTGCGTACACTCTACCCTCCCCAAGCCCCACTAGTGCGATTCTACTGGGTTGTTGTTGTTGTTGAGATCCCATTGTAGTATATCCATAGTGTAAAATACAGAACTTCAATTATTAACAACCAGAAATAGTGGAGCGCAACACACAGAATAACCATGTTATACACTCAGTTGTAGGCAGGGTATATAGATGGTTTAATGGTATTACCATTCCATATTTCAAGGAGAAAAAGTTCAAAAAATAGCTCAAGGGAAAATGCTCCCTATTAAGCACACACTAACTTTCAACCTTGAAAAAGGAATGCAACATGCTGTTGTTGAGGCATAGGTTGTAGTTACATAGAAAATCACACTCTAGCTTTTTTTTACTCCAAAAGAAATTTAGTTAAAGAACATTACTGCATATTCTTAATACCAAATTCAATCTTCAAACACAGCCAGAATTAGTGTGGGATTGAGGCATAGTTGTTGTAGTTGTAGTTGTAGTTATAGTTGTATGAAGTATGAACTACCATCCCCTGTTGCTTCTTATTCTTCGCTAACAAGCAATTTGTTTCTAATCTTTAACAATTTGCTGATGGAAAGTAGTCAAAACACTAACTGATAGTGAAATATTCCAACTTTTTTTGTCTTAATAAGTAATGAACTACTGAGAAGTCTTTAAAGTTGGAGTCTTTACCCAACTGATATCTCTTCCCTTTTTTACCCGTTTTTCCCCTTCTATTTCCCTTTTTTTTCTTTTCTTGTGAAAAAGTAACACACGACACCAGTAATTAATTTTTAATATTCAAATATGAAATAATTGGCCAGATTAAATTGCAGTACATCCATGATCCATACAATACTTTCAATTATTAACGACCAGAAACAGTGGAGTGCAGCACACGGAATAAGCATGTTATACATTCAACTTAAGGTGGAGTATACAGAAGGGATAACGGTGTTGCCTTTCCATAGTTCAAGGAGAAAAGGTACAAAAACAAAAATAGCTTAAGGGAAAATGCTCCCTATTAAGCGCACATTACCTTTCAATTTTGAAAAAGATATGCAACGTGCTGTTATATTTCAGACCATTGAGAGAAGGTTATAGTACGAATTTATTGTCCAAGCAAATATATCATGTTGAACAAACATATTTCTGTTTGCAGCCATTCCTCTTTTTTCTTGGTAAGTAAAAGGTGGTAACATATAGGCACGAATATCTAACATATATGAATCAAATATACTTAGCAGGAGGACGTTGGAAACTATAAAACTAACACAAAAAAGGATGAAGCATTCCAAAGAGAGTGAAACAGCTAACATAGCTCTGTTAAGGGGTAATGCCGAAGACCAGAGACAGGAATAATATAAGATGATTTAATAAGGCTGCTAGAGAGTCCAGACACTTACGGAGCCATCCAGCGGTATGTTCCAGTCTCTGGTGTCATTCCTTCAGTCTGCACTTCAATACGAGCAACCCCAAAATCCGCAATCTTGATCGACTTGTCCGCAGCAATCAGTAGATTGTCAGATTTCAGGTCACGATGTATCAGATTCAGGCCATGTACATATTCCATCCCCCTTGCCACGTCTAATGCCTGCTTCACCGCTAACTTCAAGGGCACTGATCGATTTTGTCTCCTGGCCAGAAACTGACGCACAGATCCCCCTTTTGCATATTCAGTCACAATACACCAGACCACTAGGTTTACGGTCATCCACCAATAAAACGACACTATGTTTGGTATGCTTCAACCTTGCCAACATCATGCTTCCTGCTGAAATGCCTGCTCCATCAACTGAGCTCTCTCAAGATCATTTCTGGCCGCTCTGAAGCTTGATAGACAACATTATTCCAACCCCACACAACAGTATTCGGTTGAATAATACGAGCGACTTATACAATAGGTCTTCCCCCCACTCCGTCCGAGAAAAGAGAACAAGAGAGACGGAAGACCATATACAGAGGGCAATATTCATTCATTCATCACTCTGTGCTGTGTATTTTCTCTGCGTTCTTATTTTTCTTTAATCTTACTACTACTACTAACTTACTCTGGTACGTTCTGCCGGTGGAGGAGGTGGCGTATCAACTCGGTCGGCAGAGCTGCGCTTGGTGGATTTGTGTACAGCTTCAGACATTGATCGGTTGTTAGGAGTTCGAACAGTAAGTTTGCAAGTCAAAGCTCCTCTTTGATAAGGTAAATTATTCATTTGCCTCTGACTTTACTTCTCAGCATCGCCAACTTTTAATTGAAAATTTGAGTTCTTTTTGTTTTTACCCCTTTTTTCTTATGAGGGATTATCTTGTTTTGTTTTATTTTTTTGTTAAATTTTGAGATTGGGGCAGAGCATTCTTTGATGCTTATAGTTAACAATACATCTGTAATAGCGAGAGTTATAGCCTGAAAAAAAATGGACGCGGTTTTTGCGCGAAATTACACATTTAACCCCAGCCTGGAGAAAATTGCAGAGGGAAAATGCTTTGCTTTTAATTTATTTTTTAGTTTTTCAAAAGATTTTTATGTACTTGATGATTTATCTTTTGTGTTTGTATGTTTTAAGAAATGTTTTTTTATGGTTGATTTATTTATTCTTCACCTCTTGACGCTTTAGCATTAAATATATAGCTGAAAATTACTTTTCTCTCCCTGCGGTTAAGCGAAGAGGAAGATATCTTATGAATAAATGCAGCCCTCAGCTAGAAGAAAAGTATGATCCCTATAGGTAGCTATTCATGGCTTACCAATTTATTGATGCACTTTTCCTTTGCATGTCTGGCTCCCGAAAGAATGAGACCTCTGATTTAGAAAGTAATTTAACTTTATTTTACCTTCTATGAAAATGATTATAGTCATGCAAACTGTTTAGCGTTTGTTTTAGAAACAGATCTAGCTAAGTACTTTCGTTCTTTCTTTCTTAAAAACTATGTGTTCAGTCAAAACAATGAATCACATAAATTGGGACAGAGGGTATTGTTATAGAGCCGTTTAGTGTTATGTTTTTTACACTTAATATTTTCGTGTGTTTTGCGTATGTGTTGGGGACTTTGCATGTTTGTGCTAAGCATATGTGAAATATTTGGAGGATCCTGGTTTAAAGAAGCCTCTAAAATTTGTCAGTTAAAGAGACGCACTCGTTTAGTATTATGCGTAAAATGAGGTGAGCTACGAGCTTAATGGGTTAAAGAAATTCATGTATTCCGCCTATCCAGTAATTTGGAATGATCGATTGATCTCTTAATGTCATTAGTTTGAAATCATTAATCTTTTGTAGATTTTGCCTCTTAATCTCACTAGGTAATTGCATTATAGGGTTAAAAGTGAGAGGAGGTTTCATATGCAATTCTATTCCCGGCCGCTTTCAGTTAGTGCTGCATTGCTGAGTGATCCGCTCGCTAATTCTGGCTGGAAAAGATGGTCCGGAAAGCTTCCTCTTACTCCCAGCAAGCAAGCCGAGATCATCACCTCTCTCAGTAATGGACTTCCTTTACTTCGTAACCTTAAAGCCTTAGCAGTGTCCTTTCATAGATTCTCGAACCTCCGACAGACAGGAGTCTCCATGCAGGCGTTCTTTCTCTCCTCCCCTCAGCATACATCACCTTTTTTCTTTTGGGGTTTTCAAAAATGTATCTTCTATCTTTTCAATTTTTTTCACAGGATGCGAGAGTGCAAGTTGACTCATGTAGCCAGTCTTCATAAGCAGCTATAAATAAGCATAGACTTTGAAGCTTTTGCCTATCTGCCCAGTACTATTTAGTCAGCATCAAAATGGTATGGAGGCCTCCAAAGTCGCCAGGGACTTATCGCGCACTTAAATGAGAACCATTTGATAATTATGGCATCACTCAAAGTTTTTACCATAAGCTTGGTGAGGCATCAACATGTCAATCGCACATTAGGCGAGCTTGCCAAATGAGCTATCTTGCGTGGTAGTTCTGGTATGCTGATGTCAACGGGAAACAGCAGTGTTATCAAATGGTGCCACACACGTATTTTTTAAACCACCAGGGCCTCAAGCGCGTCCGCGAATAACTATACACGCGGCAGAGCTATGTAAAAGGGGGATGAGTTTCATAAGGGCTGAGTGCTGATGCCGCTAGTCAAGCTCTTTGATGGATCCTCGATTCCTACTGACGCGGCCTGAGAATTATGATGAGTGCGACAATTGATTGAGCGAAGCTAAACATGGCGTTCCTGCTTTTCTCAGTGAAGCTTTTGGTGAAACTCTACAATGGGAACATACAATGGTTGAGGGATGTTG